CCAGCCCTCCCCCAAAGCTGTGCGCCGGGTGGTGGATGGGAAGGTGACGGTCAGCTGGGCCACGGGAATAGCAGCATTTGAGATGATCTGTCTGGGGAGACAGATGAGACAAATATTCATGTGTGTGTGCGTGTGGCCAGCATGTGCCAAGATGCTCTGAAAACTGGAAAGGACTGAGGAGAGGTGCTGGAGCACTTATGTAAAATATCTAAATAAATCTTTAATATTTCTAATTGCAAATGTACATAAATTGCACGGCCACATCATTTCTTTGAACACCAACAACTTTCTCTGTACATTATTACATAGTTTAAAAGGAGCTGAAGGAGATTCAGCAAACACTTCCACTTTGCTTTTTTTTTGTTTTTAAACATACTTACAAAAAAAGATTTTGTTTTTCTTTATAAGAGGATATAAAACATAGCGACTGCTTATCAGGAACAAGTATCAGCCTAAGCAGATATACAGAGAGAGGTATATCTTAAGACACAGTGATGTATGATAAAGGAATATGTGAACATGGAGACTGCACTCTGGGGCACAGGCAGCTGATGCAGAACCACTTGGCATTTACAGCAATGTCACAGCTCAGGTGATCTGTGGAAGTCGATGCTTGGATGTGACACCCTTTGTCAAACCGTGCTTGTATCTGAATGTTGTGCAACACCCTCAAGATTGGATTTGGTTTGGAAAGCCCATGAGCTGCGTGTTAGCGTGCTGCTGTTGTCCTCCCTCCCCCCCCATGTGGAACTTTCCCCACGGGAAAAGGAAAAGGCAGCAGTTACCTGGGCAGGTGAGAGCAGGGCAGAGGCCACGTGTCCAAGCCCAAACCTTTGGAGAGGAGGTTCACCCCAACAGTGCTCGTGGGAGGGAAGGATGGAGAGCTGCACGGGAGCCCTCCCGGCTGCCCCAGGAACGGTGTCACGGTTGTTCCCTTTGGACCTCTGCACCCTCCAGGCACAGCTCCGTGCTACGGACCGGGCAGGGACTGGGGACAGCTGCTGTCACAACGGCATCTCCCAGGGGTGCTACCCCTGCCCTGGGATCGCCAGGGGAAATGAGCCCCTTGCAGATCAAATCTAAGAGCCACAGCCTGGGGCTGTCCTGGCTGAATGCATCAGTGTAGTTTCCATCTCCTGGGGCTAAAAAAATTAATCTCCTTGTTCAGAAGAACCCTCAGTGTGTTTTCTATTGCATCTGGGTATGGACATTAGTAACAAGGAAAAGCCTGTGCGCACTCTAAGCTTTGGAAATGATTGATTGCTTGCCCATTGCTTTCCCAGGAGAGCCTGTGATGCCTCACTCAGGGCCACCAGGTCCCTTCTCCCTTTAGGAATATTTGTAGTAGCAGAACCTGCGTCCTGCACCCTGCAGCAACCTCCGGGGCTGGCTGCCAGGCCCGAGGATTCGGCGTGTTCTCACAGTGCAATCAGTGCTTTACAACTGCAAAAGCAGAAAAACGAAACCAACCAGACTCCAATGACAATGCAGCGTGACAGAGGACTCTTTGGATGGCGGTAGGATTTGCTTAAACTGGTGCAAAAGGGGCTGGTGACTACACTGTAGCCCTAGTGGGTGTGGGGAAGGACTTGGGTCCCTCCGATCTTTTGGCACTGAAGCCACAATCCCTGTCCAGAACGATGACACAGTCCAGAAACCTCGGGATACTGGCCAGTCCATTTCATCCCCCCTTACACAAACTTTTTGCTTTTTTCAGAAGCATTCACTACAGTTTAACAAAACCCCAAATCAAAACTCTTAAAACAGAATCCTTGAGGTGGGCCAGCCCCAAATCTGGATCCCTGGCTCCTCTCCCTTCCCCTTCCCTCAGATCCCCAAAGGGGTGAAATCATGACCTGTGCCTGGATCCAGATTTGCTAGCGCGCGTCCGCCTCGCCAAAACAGCAGTGAGATACAGCCAAATCCTGACCGAATAAGCAGCACCAGAAGTAAGTTACTATATACAACTGTTAGTGAGATAGATACGGTACAGTAAACACTGAAAACATTTACAAAAAATATTAAGACTTGTATTAAGATAAAAATCTGAGTGTGTTTTTTGTTTTGCTTATGCTTTTGACAGGTTTGCACTAGAACAGCTTCTTACTGGAGAAAGCGCAAGAACGAAAAAGAGAATGGAGCCGATCGCAGAACGTTAGGGATAGTGGTCGCTTTGCGCTGGTGCTGACGCACCTCTGGGATCGCCTCTGGTATTGCTACGGCAGGTACCGGCCCGAGGCCGTGGTGGGCACCCGGGGCACGCTCTCAGCAGCTCCCTCGCTCACACACACGCACACACACACACATACATAAATGTACAGTTTATAAATAACAGAAACACAAACTGAAGTAACAGAACTGAACTGAGCCTGGATCTTAAAACCTACCCGCAAACCTGCGCAGGGGAGGGTCACAGTTAGGTCCAGTTGTTGACAGTTGTGGGGGGAAAATGGGAAAAGGGTGGGGGAGGATCTCTACTGTAAGGAGACTTTGTCCTGATTTGATTTCTTTTCATACTGGCTCAGGAAACTAAGCAACAACTCCAGAAGGTGTTGGCACTGGAACCTTTTTAGGATTTTTAATGACTCGCAGTGGAAGGATTTAAGCATTCATTCAGCGGAACAATGTTTGTAATTTGCAAGGCTGAGGTTAACCAGGAGCTCCTGACAGCTCAGGGCGGGGGGAGCAGAGCCTTGGCTTGTGGCGGAGGAGAAGATTAAGGTGTGCTTAGCTGCAGTACTAAACTATTGGTTTGTGGATGTTTCTTTTTTCCAGCTCTTACGGAGAGCACTGACTGCATCCCAAAATTACTTCTGTGTATGAATGGAAACGTGCTGCTGGTGGGTGCTTGCCCCGGGAGTGTTTCCATCCCTCTATGGTACTTCTGTCTTGAAAAACTTCTGCCTCTTGCAATGGAAATATTTTGGAACTCGGAAACAATCAGCTCTAAACATACATCTCAGGGCACCGGTGGTTTAGAACAGTCTCTTTGCAGGGTTCTGATCGTGTGTTTGACTCTGAGCCCGTGGCAGGTGCCAGTGTAGGTACCCAGTGGTTCACCGCACCCTGCGCACTCCTAACCTCTCGGGGTCTTTCGCCAGTTGTTACCGTGGCAGGTTTGTGAGGTTCTTCAAAGCCATCTCTGCTAGTCTCCACAAGTTAAAGGTGACTGTACTTGTCATAAATAGTTATTACTTTTCTCGGAGGAGCTCCGTTGGGGGTCTGCTGTGACTGCCCCGCTCTGCAGTCGCCGGCAGGGTGCAGAGACCTCAGTGCAACACGTTTGCTCCTCCATGGACCAACCCGCACCGGGCTTGGTCCAGGGCTTCCAAGGAACAGAAAAAAAACATTTAGAGAGAGAAAAAAAAAAGCATCTAATTTTGAAAACAATTGTATGTGGAAGAATGCTGTTAATGAGCCTTAGGGCTGCGGGGCAGCATGGCAGTGTGCGGCTGGAGACGGTACCTACGTGGGGCAGAGCTCGGGGAGCATCCTAGTCCCTTGGACTGTACATGTACACAGGGCAGGAGGAGCTAGAACAGGTGTGGAGCAGTGTGTGAAACCTTAGTGGGAGGAATAGGCAGGTGTCCTGTACACTGTACACTGTCATCCGTGTCTCGGAGAAATCTCTCTGTCTCTCGGTACGAGTGACCTGCTCTGAGACTGGGAATCATGAAGTGCTAAGTTAAAAAAAACAAAACAAAAACAAAAACCACAAACCAACAAACACACCATGGCGGCAGGTCAGCGGCACAATCCCCCGTTAAGGAGGTGACCCCTCCGCTGAGCACAACGTGTCTGAATGTGCCGAATCTGCGTGTTTCAGCAGTTAGGAAAGTCTAATCCTGGCTTATGCCTGCACAGTGCTCCTGACAAGGGGGCTTTCGGTGGTGGCTGCTGTTCCTGCTGGTTACTCCCTTATGACCATGTTTTACATTCTTCCAGCCGGTTAATTTCCATGCAGTGCTCATTCCCAATTTAAAGAGGACAGTATTCCAGAAAATGGGATCTTTTTTTTTCTAATGCATACTGTGAAAGAAAAGAAATACAATTACCGATCTTCATGCTTCTTCAGGGCTTTTTTCTTGTTTCTTTGTCTGTTTTTCTCCCCAGAAACAGAAACATCTCTGCACAGAGCATTACATCCCCATATTGAACCCTTCGTCAAGCAAGACGCTGGCCATTTCACATAGCCCCTCGCTCCCCCTCCACCACAACAGGCACCAGGAAATCCAGCCTCTGCCCCTCACTCGCAGCTGAGGGACCAACCTCAGGCACCAGCTATTTTATTCTGTGGCTAGGACGTGGGGGGGGACGGGACAGTGCCCTGGGGCTATAGCTTCCAAAGACTCTTCTCCATTTCTTGCAAGAGCAGAAGCTGGAGAGAGGAATCGCGTCTCCATTCACCAGGTCCCAGCTCCTCCCTCCGCTTGTGTGCAGAGCCCTGCGCTGGCTCTGCTCCCCCCGGGGCTCCCCAGGGACCCCCCAGCCCTGCCCTTCTCCACGGCCCTGCTGCTGGGGTTCCCATGCAGCACCCCTTTGGCTCTGTGGACTGGGCTCCCTATCTGGGCGGAGTTAATTAATTAAACACTAATTAGCTGCATAAATGCCCTGCGGCCAGTCACCCACTGTAAGGACAGCTGGGCTGGGCTAGGGGGCTGTGCTCCGGGGGGAGGCGCAGGAGGAGGGGGCCCAGCCTTGCTGCCATCCCTCCTACAGCTATACCCAGCAGCACTTTAACTGGGCTTACTGGGCTGCCGCCTGCTGCAGGCTCTGCCCAGCTCCCTTTCTTTCGCTTACTGCACTGACAAGGACGTTATTCCTTGCTGGGAGGGGTGAGGCATCTCCTTTGGGCAGTTTAGAAGGAAAAGGTGACTTTTGTTTAAACATTAAACACTGATTTAAATCCAACAGTGACAGCGCTTCTCAAATAGATGTTATTTCCTTTGCCACTCATCTCACACTCGATCTTTCCGTCCCCTCAATGTGCTGGCATTAGCATCTCCCACAGAGGCTCAGTCCAGCGCGCCGTCCGCAGAAAGGAGCTGGTTTCTCTGGGGGGAGAGAGCAGCCGTTCTCTGAAGCCGCGGCTCACACCTGCTGCTGCACGGTCCCTCTGGCCAGGCCTCCTCTCCTGCGGCAGCGCCCTCCACGCGTTAACAATTACTGCTGTTTCTGAATTCTCCATTCTCTGTAATCTGCAATTTAGTTGGGTTTGTGGGGGAGATCCCATTACGCGTCTGCATGCTGTACCTCTCTTTCAGCTGAGTAAGGGCACTCATTAACCGTGCGTTGGCAGCGTCCAGGGAAGCAATGCGTTTCTCCTGCAAACAGAGAGGTGGAGGGGAACGGTCAGCGGAAAGGCACCGAGCCCGTCCCTCTGCTTGGCCCCAGCAGTGACCCCGAGGCCTCCTGGAGCAGGACCTCTCCCTTTGGCACCGTTAGGGGTGGGATTTTCAGTGCCACGCAGCATTTTTGGACATCCGCTGCTATTAGCAGGGCCACAACTGCACTCTGCCTGTGCAACCTCAGCTGAATTCACTTGAGCATCCTGGAGAAAACGGAGATAACATCATTTCTCTAATTCTGCAGTTATACAGAAACTCATCGTACAGTTTGCTCTAACTGCGGCTGTTACCAAGATAAGATTCCTTTTCTAAAGCCAAGCTCTCCCAAGATAGTTATTCCTGTCAGTGTTTAATTGATTTTGTTAGTGTAAATTAATAGTTTAAATGACTTGAGGCCTCCCAGGACGGCTCTGATGGCAACTCTCACCAATTACAGTATCTTAAGGATGGCAGCAAGAGCTCTGGTGTTGCAGCCAGCTCCTGCCGCTCCTGCTCTCTGCGACACTGAACAAGTCCTCATACCCCTCTGCCTGCCACTAACGGGGGGATGCCCCTGCCACTAACGGGGGGACAAGAACCAGCCGCGGGGAGCATGGCCGTTCGCTTGTGTGCCACTCCGAGGGGCCTTGTGTGACCACGTCCAACACTACGGGACAGCCTGAGGTGACAAAAAGAGAACAACGCGGGCTGCGCAGGTCTCACGGTCAGAGCCTCAGGGGTAACCCAGCAGGCGGCAGGAGACAGGACAGCCCGTCGGGAGGCTGCAGTCTGCGCCGCTCACCCTGATCCTTCCACAAAGTGACTGAATTGTGGGCACGATCCTTCCACACACTGCCGCCCTCCCATCCTCTGTGTTGCCTGCCAAGCTCCAAGGTTAGAAGCAGCTGTACAAATGCTAATGTTGTGACAATAAACTGCATCCTGCTG